CTCCCTTCTCCCTTCTCCTCTCCCCTCTCCTCTCCTTCCTCTCCCTCTCCTTCCTCTCCTTCCTCTCCTTCCTCTCCTTCCTCTCCCCTCCTTCCTCTCCCTCTCCTCCTCTCCTCTCCTCCTCTCCCTCTCCTTCCTCTCCCTCTCCCTCTCCTCCCTCTCCTTCCTCCCCTTCTCCCTCCTCTTCCTCTCCTCCTCCCTCTCCTTCTTCAACATAATCTCGAGACCCATCACCCGATAGACCACCTCCTTCATCAGGTCCTCCGCCATCTTCCCACCACACCTCATCAGTAAATTGCACTCCTCTCTCATCTCCTTGATGTGCATTGCCGCGCATGATGAAACCAAGTTTTGTAGGCCGTGCGCCTGTTGATCGTCAATCAAGCCCACATTGCTGTGCTCATAGACATAAAAGAGTAGATCGCTCAAATTGTTTGCGAACTGAGGGCGGACCGGCACCGTGCCTGCCTTGTCAAGTGCTTTGTGAAGGCGGTTGAGACATAGGGCTGTAAGCGAGCTTCGTTTCTGGGTTTGGGAGAGGACGTAGAGTTCCGCATGGCTGAAGAATACTTCCCCGTAATCCAAGCCGTCCGGATGTCTTAATACAGTGTCGTCTTCGGTGTCGCTGTCTTCGCTGTCCCTATCGTCAACGCTACTCGTGGGGGTAGCTAGTAGCGGCTTGGCCGGTTTCGGAGCACTGTAATCGCCCTGATAGCAATACTCCAGGAACCGCTCCACCGTAGAAGTCTTGAAACTATTCCACGGGGTGTCTGTGCGGATACCGTGCCCCGAGTCAAGCACATCCGCATGGGCGTGGAGTGCGGTCCCATCCACCGTCTCGAGCTGCACCATCTTGCCCCTAAAGCGACTGTTATTTTTTTTCGCCGTTTGGCCGCTGTTAGCATCCCCGGTCTCGATAGGCCGGTCAGAGGAGGAGAGAGGCGGGGGGCCAACCTAGCTATGTCAGGTCTTCCCATTGTACAGTGGAGCCTTGGTTTCTGGTGAATACTTTCTCGTTTGCTCCGAGTCTGGAGTGTCCGAAGGTGAGGTTTTGGGGTAAGCGAAGGCTGGGTCCTGTCCCCGAAGTCCCAGTACTGTACCGGTATAGCTGCACCATCCTTGGCGGTGGTGGGAGGCCTTAAAGTTAATTCGGGAACTCGGTTTGAGTCGGTTAGTGTACTGTACGAGTACTGTACCGGTACTTGTAACAGGTCTTGAATGCCGGTATCATACCGTGTCACTTGCTATGTCCGCTCACTACCGGCATTGACTTGCCTTTATCGGCGACCTGAGACAGTTAACCCCGTTGTACCTTCACAATAGATCACTCGATATTTCCTCCAAAAACTTTGTAACCGGAATCTGAAGCTGGACAAATGCTTAATTTGGGTAATTAGTGCTTTGTTGAGAGAATTTGTTACTATTATTGAAGGACCCCGGGGAGGGTAAATCCCGCAGCGCTATGCGGGGCACACTGGAATGGGGCTTGGCCGGTATGGAGGGATGGTGGAAAGGGATGGTCGGAAGCTTCGTTCTCTGATGGTGTCTCCCTTCGAGTAGTGATAGAGCTAGGCGCACAAGTATGATAAGACATAAGGAAAGCATCCTGATCTTTCCGTGGATGGCGCTACACGTCCCTCGCCTCCCCCACGCGTGTCCCCATGCCTCCACATACAAAGGTGATACTAGAGAAAGGCATGTGTGGAGAAAATTATTCGCAGATCGCGGCGACTCCAGAATGAAGGAATCCACCTCCAACGTTCCCGAGAGCTCCACGATCAACCGCAGCCCACAGCCCTTCGCTACCAGACCCCCACAACTGCAGCAGTTACCTCGTGGGCGGAGTTATCGATTCAAGTTATAATCTTAGCCTTTTCGGTCGGTAGTTTCTCTAGCTTCGGGGATTGGGTTAATTTGCACTGTACCGGTATGCGACCTCTCTACAGGATCTGGAGGTGGTCGGCAGGTTCAGTACGATGGGTGCATTTGCTTGGGTATTCTGGAGTTTCTTAGCGTTCAGCCCAAGGAGGGGGCCTCAAGCATGCTTTCTCAATTTATGTTTGAGTGTTTTTTTGTTTTCACACAGGCCGCAGTTATTAATCGAGAAAACGAGCACGAGAAAATGCCGACAACGCTGTGAGACCGGAGAAAAGAGGTTTCGAGGACTGATATCGAGAAGTATCAGTGAGGAAGGGCTATCGCTCAGCAGCCTCTGGTCAAGGGGGGGGGGGGGGCGCGGTGATGGAGTTGGGAAATACTTCATGGTCTACGTGTGGTGTGAGTCACAGTATGCTAGTGTAGCTACAAACATTACCTCGACCTCAAGTTGTAGCTTTGCAAACTGTGGCATAAACTCCCCGAGTGCGATCGTGGTTAGTTCGGGATTTGATATAGCCTTTCTAGTAAGGGGACTGGATAATATCGGATTGCGGGGTGTTGGGGCAGTGATGGCGTTCGTGGTGGCTTACATCCAATTGTGAACTCTACTGTGAATAATTACCAGGCTGGATGGTGTTTTTCTTTCTCAGCATTCAATGGCTATAAACAAGGGGGGCTCTTACCCCGGATCGGATGAAGCGAGTGGGTAAGCCATTTCCGGCTTTTATTCAGCACATTAGAAGCGTCTGGCTTCTGGCTTGTTCGAGGCTTCGGCCGGGCATCTGTCGGTACGAACCCTTGTCTAACACACTGGGCAGAAGACGGTGGACAATCATGAAGCATGTACGAGGCATGGCCGGCTCGCCGAGGAATGAGGTCCCCCAGAGAGGGAGGCCCGGCACCGCACTAGTCGCCATATCAGTAAATGCAATACTGCAGACAGTGTGAAGCACTTGACAAGGTCGGGGAGTGGCTTACAAGGGCTGGCCTAACAAAGACGTAAGAGGGGAAAAAGGAATATGTAAAGTGAATTGGGTGCCTGGCTGCTCTCCTCTGGGTCTTCAGGGAATTTCTCCTGCTCACTCTGCCTCCCTTAAAGCAGGAACACGCTTCTACTGTATCATAGAATGATTGGATACACGGTTTTCTGGAGCCGTTCCAGGAACCAATATGCTGCCATCCGCTTGAAACGGGAGAATGAGGAACTATTAAATGATAGAGATAATATATACAGAGTTTGTGGTGTGTTATATAGGGCTGGTTGGAGCTGAAGCACCGCTTGGTGAGCATTGGCTTCTCCATACTTTTTCTTTCACAGGGATTCAAAGTTATAGACTCCACTTTTCTCTTTCTTCTTTGCGCTTCCTTTCTAAATCTTCTATTAATCTCTTAGCCGCCTTAAGGGATTTATCCTTTTCTATGAGGAGATTGATGGCTTTGGCCAAAATGTCTTTCGCCAGTTTCTCTCCGTGGAACAGATCGGCTCCCGGCGCGCTAAGAAGCCAGCTCCCTTTCGATGTCAGGAATTCGGAAACTACCTTTTGGAGTTCTTCCCATCCACCCTCGGTGCCACTGCAGCACGGATTGTACGAGTATCGAATTAATACGCGCAGGTTTTCCACGAGTACGGATTCCTCAATTCTGTCTTGCGCCTCTTTCATAGCCTCACCTAGCCTTTCGAGAGCCACGGATGCGAGAGGAAGCATTTTGTAGCACTGGGAAAGTATGGATAGGCTGGCGTGGGTGAGGAAGACCTTTTCGTAATCAAGAGATTCTGGAGCTAGGGTGGAGATGCCGTTCGACTGCCGGCCTTGGTGAACAGCTGCGTTAGTATAACACTTCTACCAAAGCACATCATGGCAGAATTTCCTCACATGGGGGAGAAACGCAAGGAATCTTGGGGGAATCTTAACTGGTAGCCACCGCTGGCGGATTAGTGTAGTTGCCCTGGTAAAGGTATTCGACAAAACCCGCAACAGTGGCGGTGGTGAAACAAGACCATGAGCATCCCCCGGCGCCCCTGACCACAGCATCCACAAGCCCTCTGTGAACGTAGACTCTCTCCAAGTCTGCAGTTTGGAGCGCTACCACCTTTGTTTTGAGAACGCTGTCGCTGGGTTAGTTTGTGGTACACTTTTGCAGGGGAGGGAAAATCTAGTTAGTTTGATAGGAAGGGATGGATGAACCTCAGGATATTTGGCCTTTCCATGATGTAGGAAACTGGGCCGGTACTCTCGTTATCGGTTTCGCGGCTTTGGTGGGGTGATCTGTCTTTTGTTTCCCGGGTGGGCTTGACTATGTGGATTTAGGATAAACAAAGTAAGAAGGGAGTGGGTTGAGTGAGCATCGTAGTTGCACATTACGGTACAGCAGTGAGAGTGGGGGTGAAACGAGAGTCTCGCCACTGGAGGCCTAACTTGAGGCGCTAAATCCCCAAATCTCACCTCTGCCGCGGTATGGTGGCTATAGTAGAAGGCTACGAGCCTTGTTGTGCTGTACCGGTTATAACACTATAAGTTCCCTGGAGGTGAACGGATTTTACTCTTGATGGTTACAGCTAGGTTTGTAAATTTGCGTGCGATAATAGAGCGTCCTATCGCACCCCCTGGGGATCGCCCTTACATAGTGAGATAAAAAAGGGGGTCCGCTTTCGTTCGTTGTCTCTCCGGATATTCCCTACCATGGGAATTTATAGCTCCAGTAAATTGTATCATACGCCGGGGGGCGCGGGAACTATGATATCATAATCGTGCCAAGGTGGTGGCGTCCACCACCACCTTGGCACGATTATCCCTGGCGGCTGGGTCTGGGGTGAGGGAAAAAGCATTGAAGAATAAAGTATCTTATCCAGCGATCCTAACCCCCATCCCCCGGATACGGGAATGTGGCTTTCAAGCCCCGAGGGCTGGCCAACCGACATGCGCAATGCTTCGACCTCTGTTGCGTTATCTTTCGCTCTGAGCAAGGCAGTTCACGGTGATCTGTTGAGTTTATTTTTATTGTGTTGTGGGCGATAAGCGGTGAGATGCCTGCGGGCTGGGCGCAGATATCACCAGATTGACTGGCATGTAGCGTCTTTGACCTCGGGCGCCTCAAGTGATTGTTCGGCTGTGACCTGGCCGTTCCCGGGCTTTGGTAGCCGGCACGGTTCACGCGCCGCGAATCTATAGATCGGGCTATGGATGGTCCTAGCTGCTGATATCGCCGGCCCTTCTGAGCTAGCTTCGGTCTTCCGGTATGATACAGTGGGTCCCTCCAGGTTCTCCAGCAGCAGCAGCCCCATCACGTTCACATAATTTTTGGTAACTCCTACATGGATACCTCGATTTAGTAATTGCGGTTGGCTCAGGATTGTGTATAGACATTCGACCGAGAGGGCTAGAGGCCCGGGGAAGGAGGAAAAAAAAAACACTCTATGGAGCATTCACATAAGGCTCTGCCGAGAGAGGGTTAGGGAATGGATTAGGTAAGAAAACACTAACGAGACCAAGGCAGAAGGAAAGGAAGGGAGTTCAGGGGGTTAGGTACTTGATTATGTCCTCCTTGGGGTCTCTCTGCTCGTTCCTAACCACGCCTTCCCATGATTTGCTCATACCGAATATCTTCTTTAGAAATCTGGGATTCCCTGACCGTGGAGGTTGGATGTGAGGTGGGGGCTGGACAGGGACTCTATCGCAGTTCAAAAAATTAGGGCCTACCCTCTGAATGAGGAGGGGAGGGCATCGTTGAATGATCGGGAATTTAACTAACCTTTGCCGTTGATGATGAGAGGCAAGCTGAAGCTGCAGCACCTCTGACCCCGTAATTTAAACCTGAGGGCTTGCCTTTTTCACTCGTTCCTCCCCTTTGCTACTTCCTCGAGCTTTGGTTTTGGATCTACCACTTGTTTCTTAGCCGCCGCAAGGCGGTAGTCACCTCGGTAAAGGAACTCGACAACATTTGTGATTGTAGCGGTAGGGAAGCCGCACCACAGGCAACTACCGAGACCTTGTGCTGCGTGTCAAGTAGCGATCTGTGAACATAGATCTTCTCTAAATCCCTAGTTTTTATCCGTATCATCTTGCCGCTGAGAATGCTATTGTGTAGACATCGGTTAGTAGTGCCGCACTTTTGCGGGAGCCCTGTTGGTTCGAAAGGATAGACCTCAAGGCATTGGGTCTCTCCGTGATGTATTTAGGCGGGCTCCTTAACTATTTTTCGAATTGCCTAATATATTTATTGGTCACGCTATGTGAATTTCGATTCGGGGGTGGCGGTGGGATGGGTACTTGTGTTCACCAAAACATCGATATAGTACAATGTTTGTCTCCCACAACAGCCAGCCACGAGCGACTACCCAGTAAAATCGCTTCTCGGGAAGGCTCGGGGGTACTGTACGAAAATATTTTGCTATGATAGTTATGATACCTCTTGCATGACAAATGACCCTACTAGTAGGGCTACTGTTTCTGGTTGTGTTTGGAAGTAAGTTACTGTATGTGGGGGAACTGCAGTTGCTTTAAACGAGGTGTGGTATCGTGGTTGATTTGAGTTCGGCTTTGAGACTGGAGCCTAACTCATGGCGCTTAGTCTCCAAAGTACTCGTACTCGAGTACAAGTACAAGTACCGGCATGGCGCCAGGAAGGAGGGGGGTGTATGTGTAGCACCATTGACCGCAGAGTGGCTTGCGCGCCAAAAACTTACCCTTATCCTAAACTCCGAGACACACTGCTCTGATTAAAGGGAAGAAAAAACCGAGATGGAAGGTTACACACTTCCCCTCCGAGGCTTCTGGCACGGTCTAGGTTCGCTGCTGAAATCCAGGATTGGCTGATAGCGCAAGCTAGGGTGGTGAGAACTTTATTACAACTATGATAGTGTCCTTTGAAGACTCGATACAAGTATACCCTCGAATTGGGGTAGGGTTTGATTATCGGAAATAAGCAGTGGTATCAATGAAAGTGGGGATCCCGAGCAGGTGGGATCGCTCTTAAATTATCTTGTGGAGAAATCCTTTCTCGTTTACCTTTACCCGATACTTCCCACCGTGAGAATCCATGGTTCCAGACAAACAAACCCTAGAGGAATTACAGCTACAACAAGGCTAGTTGAGGGATAGAGGTATTTGAGGGTAAACTATCTCATCCTGCGGAACTACCTTCACCTATAATACTTTAGGAAAGATAGGAAGGGGAGGGATTGGGATATATAGAAGACTATCTAATACTTTTTCGTGTTCGGGGGCCCTGATCTGGTTCAAAACTGCACATAACCAGCCCGTGCTCACCGTCTATTACGGTGGGACCACGCCACGTAGGGACGCACTGCTTTAGGATCTCGAGACGAGATGGAGCGATTAGGCTTCAGTATATGTTGTGTCGGGATGGATAGAGGCAGCCGCATTTGCTCTGTTTGGTGAGTGTTTTCTGGCCTAACTAGAAAAGGGTTTGCTCACGCAATTGGGCGGACGGAGAAAGCGGTTAGGTTAGAAGAAAAGTGAAAGCAGAAAAGATACTGAATATAGTGCGAGAGGGTATGGGGTTGATTTCCTCTTAAGTGGTAGATCTCCGGTGCCATCATCACTTTTGGGCTGAGAGTTCGAGAGCGTCGAGCATCTACGCCTCTTATCTCCGGTATTTTTGCACGGACAGGTACAGTACGGGCAAGTTGTGTGCGCCTTTGTCCAATCCGGAGACCAGCTTGGAAATTCATGCTAGATACTAGAGTACTTAATTAGGAAAATCCCAATACTTAGCCTCCCACTCAATCAGTAGACCGGCCCCGTGGAGGGAGAGAAGGAAACACCGCTGTCAAAAAATTAATGGTCCCCATCTAGCCAGGCTTTGTAACTAGGGATTCACGATCACTCACTCTCTTGTTGGCTAAACCTTCAGTAACCTTATACAAACAGACTACAACTAGCCAACACAAGTTGTGAGATAAGTATACTGCGGGCAGAGTGGAGAAACAAGTTTCCGGAAGATTTCCTTGTAATAAAATAGAGACATATAGGGAGGGGGAGGAGAAGCCCAACACACGTACACAGGAGATTTACAAAGGAGAAAGAAAAAAATGGATCTTTTTATCCCGCCAAAAATACGAAGTATACATCTTGTGTTCATTTCCAGGGGAACCCTCCAGTTTGCAAATAATCCAAAAGTATTGACCCGCTCTGGGGTTACCCCAGAGGGCAGAAATTCCATCGGCACCAAAAAGATTACCATCCGGCAGTTTCAGCAACCTCGGGGGTATTCGGGGGAAAAGATATCGAATTTTGGAAAGGATTCGCGGGGTGATTAAGTGCTAAATTTCCACCAAGGGGTGGCTGAACTGGATCCAGACCTCTAGAATATTTCATTAGCCCTTTAGACTTGCTTTCACGGTGGTGGGTTTGGAGCGGCCTTGTGCTGGTGCTGATATAACCTGGGGGAAGTTGATACCTCTTTCTGTTCACTATATCCCTGCCGGTGTGTTGCAGCCGGTTTTTTACCCTTTTCCATATCTGCAAGGCGGCTCTCAGCTTCTTTGAGACGCTCGACGGCTCCAATCATGAGATCTTTCATCAGTTTCCCTTCTCCACTGAGCAAACTAGCACCCGGCATTTCAAGAATCAACCCTATTTTTTCTACACAGACTTTGGAGGTGATCTTCTGAAGTTCCCCCCACGCGGGGTTGTCGCTCATGTAACAGTGGCTGTAGGAGTATCGGAGTAACTCAACTACGTTTTCTGAGAACATGGAGTCGGGCAGTTCTTCATGAGCTTTCCCCATATCCTCCTGAAGCTTTGCCATGCATATCTCTCCAAGGGGATCAATCCCCCTACTTTTTGCAAGCATGAATAGTTCTGCATGGCTGACAAATACGCCTTGGTAGTTGAGGGACTTGGGAGTGGCAAGGCTGCCGGGGGCCGCAGTGGGGGCAGAACCTGGTAGCAGGCCAGTATAGTCCCCTTGGTAGAGGTATTCGACGAACCGTTTAATCGTGTCGCTGTGGAAGCAACTCCACCAACATTCCCCACTAACTTTGGAATGTGCCTTCAACAGCCCTTTGTGCACATAAACCTTCACGGAATCCGCTCCCTCCAGAGCTATCATCTCACTTTCAAGAAAGCTGCTTGGCGGATACTAGTTAGTGTTGCTCGCACCACGACTTCTTTGGGAAGGGAGCACCTCGTGATTTGTGGTCTTTCTGTGGATAGCCCGTGGCCCATTGTGGTATACGATTCGTGCGCTAGGCTATGATGCCAGTACCAGTATGCGAAGTTAAGGTCGGTTGAGGGTTTTGATTGTTATTAATTCTGTGGGGTTTAGGCTCGGAAGCGGAGGGAGGATGGGTTCCGGCACGGTACAAGTAACGGAAGCCAAGGTGGGTTGGGCTGGTGGCCTGACTTGTGGCGTTTGATCTCCCAAACACAATTTTTCTGTGGAGATCCGTGATTGGATACGAGGCGCCGGCAGCCGCGGGCAGATTGGTGCTGATATATGCGTGTCGGGTGTCGCGGGTAAACGAGGATAAGAGGGTATGATTGGCTAACAAGACTCTTCGGTCACTCGGAGAGCAATCCAATACGGGTACATGTATGTTGGAGCCAGAAGGAGTAGAGGATTTTCATGACTTTTTCCACTTTCAAGAATAGAACCACGTTGACCTTTCCTCTGATTACACTCACTAAATTTTGGCCAAGAAAAACTAAAATAGACTCACTTATGCTCACACCCCGGCGCCCGCAAACAATGGCCATAATAACGGGAGATCTACTTGTGTTCAACCTAGGAACTCTGAGACCCTCGAAAACAAACCATAAGCCCAGGCATGTGCTCTAATAGCCCATCTGTGCAGTACCATGTCAATCGTGGGTTCTGAGCGCATCTTGGGGCATTTTTTTTGCGTTTTATAGCCCGGCCGGATTGTCGCTACGCGTTATCATTCCATTTCTCTGCCTGGCAAAGCGAAGCCTCAACATGGGAAAGCAAATACGAGCCCTCCCGCCATACTTCTGACATGCATCAATACGAGTGACGGCCAATGATTCTCGCATTGTCTTACCTGCTACACCTAAGGTACATACGGTTCCGCCCTCAGTCCCATCCACTCTAGAAATCTCCCGGCCGCCCGACATTAGAAAAAAGGCATTTGGTTACATTACAACGTATGATACTACACACAGCACATCAGGACATACCGCGTATGAAAATAAGGATATATAACCCTAATCCCTTGCTTCCCATTTCTTCCTCGTCCTTCTCAATTTTATTCCACATAATATGCCTCGGACACAAAAAGAGACTGATAAGACACCCCCAACCCATCGCCAGCGGGCCTTGGCTGCGGCGAGAGCCGCTGTCAAAATCCGGGAGGGGGTAAGACTGCATGGACCGCGTGGAGTAGTAAATGGTGATCTGGTGCCTTCCAAATGTGGGGCCGGAGGTGGGAAAGGTTTGTTTGCTTGTTTGCTGTAGGGATTTTGGTGGAGGCTATGCTGACGGGGGCTGTATGAGCTGGACTACCGGTAGGGATATCGGGGCAGAGGGATAAGTTAGAGAAGGGGCAGGAGGGAAGGGAGAGGTCAGAGAGTCAGGGGTTGGGTTGCGGGGCCGTGGGTGGTAGAGGCGGAGGTGGTGGAGGCGGAGGTGGTGGAGGTGGAGGTGGTAGAGGCGGAGGTGGTGGAGGTGGAGGTGGTAGAGGCGGAGGTGGTAGAGGTGGAGGTGGCAGACGTGGAGGTGGTGGACGTGGAGGTGGTGGAGGCGGAGGCGGTAGAGGCAAAGGTGATAGAAGTGGAGGTGGTAGGGGTGGAGGTGGAGGTGGGGGAGGAGGTACTCGGGCAAGAGTGGACGGTAATAGACATAAAGAAAATCAAAATGGTGAAGTTGTCACTTTCTTTAATGATGGTGGTGGGAAGGTTTGCCCCCTGCTATATAGCATATCATTAAAAGCACTTACTCTTCACCCTGGTCGTTTTCCCTTGCTAATCTCACCGGCCTCAGATTGGCGAGCCCGATTTCTTTGTCAAAGAAGTTACTGTTGTCAAGTTTGAGGAGAATGGGAGCAGGTCGAGGATTAGGTATGAATTTGTGGGTTGATTCATTGGTTCGGGTGCATGGTGAAAATATTTATGTTCTTACACTTGCTCATGTGATGGAGTTGGTGGTGAGGGGGGGTGGGTATGGTTCAAGACCCAAGATAATATTTCAGGCTTGCCCTATCTGTCTTAAAACAGTGGGAAGAATCTCCTCTACATCTACCCCTACGTTGTTACACGATAGCTTTGCTCCATACACGTGTGTACAAAGGAAATATCTATGAGTCGCATTGGATAAGGTAATCACATATTTTAACAAAGGGATATGAGATTTTGGGGCGGCTAGAGCAACAATCCACCGTCTATTACTCTGCTGGGCCTTCGTGTCTATTGTATGTGTCGGCAACCTATCTTGATTCCCTTTATATGACTAGCTAAGCTATACAAGCACCACCTACCCCAATTGTCTCATTCTCTCTCTCTCTTTCCCGATATTTCGCGACATTAGGTGAGGGGGGTGTTCCCATCTTATTGTGACCTTTATATTGCCAGGGTGTGTTTAGTGCTTGCAGGAAACTATCTTTCATGTGAATGGGGCTCATGGATTTATTCTTCCTGGGAAAACTCTCAACTTACTTTTTCGCCCCACTCAGCTGTTTCAGGAATTTTTGTTTGCCGGGATCAGGATACTCCCTACCAGTAGCAAGTCATCGATCTGGCTCGGGTGGGAATTTTAGAAATACGATCAATTGGAGGTCTTTGTTTTTCCATCCTCCTCGTGACTGGGAGCTTGGATAGTGGGAAAATGGTTGTGAGGGACAGGTTATCATACGCTCTACAAGAATGACAGATGACTAACGAACCGGTAGGCAGTTAAGGTTTTATTTTAAACGTAACAAGCCGCTCTCACGCCCCCCCTCGCTCTCGCGGCTAAAATCGAATAGGAAACTTTCCTACAATAAACTTGGTAAACTAGGTAAAATTTTGCGACCGAAGAGATTAGCGGGTGATTTGTTCATTAGGGATCGGTCAATTGGGGAATCTCGGAGTGTCCCCGAGAGGTTTGTAGTTCCACCTACCGCAGTACTGGGCTACCCTATGTTGCTCTTTTATGATACCGTACCGTATTATCACACGGTGGGATCTCCTAGAATTGGCCATCAGATTATCGGCGGAAGTCGCCGCATCACCCCACGATAGGTACGGTATCGGTTCATGAGATGCGACACTTCCAGAGGGCTCAGGATATCGTGTTTGGAGTGCGCTAATCTTTCATAGGAGCTTTGCACTATAAACCTGGGGACTCAAAGCCGACAGGAGATACTGGGTCACAAGAAATTTTACGATACCCACAGCCTATCTTCCGTGAAATACCGGTAATGCTGAAGCCTCCTTTCAAGTCGACAGTAGGTTTCCTTGTCTCTGGTGGTGCCTCACGAGGCATGACATCACTGTATACGTCTCAATTTTACTGTGCTTGTAATTCCTCAAGCGAGTAACTTAGGTCCTGGCCCCTTTGGTCTTGTGCGCTTAGAGTAGTCACGCGTACCATATTATCTTGAATAAGAGAGAATTATCTTAGGACATCTGAGTTTCCTATTTTGAGAGGGGTGGGAGAAAGTTCCACCAATGGAAAACAAGGCCATACTTAGCAGGAAAATATAGATGTCCTGAGACAATTCTCCCTTATTCAAGATAATAAGGTAGTCTTTCTCTCCATGGCTGACGATTACCGATGTCTCAAAAAATATGATATGTATCCTACCCTCGTGTTTCGAATACACGATCCTGTGGAATATCTCCTCGTTTCTTCCACTTCCTTAAAAGAAACAGCGATGGCTGCTTATCTAAGTTTCACTTTTGACACACATCCGAGAGACTGATACACTTCGCTGACCTGAGGCGGTATTAATTCCTTACTGACATCCTCAGCAAGGCTTAAATTTCGACAGTAGTATTACTGTGCACGAAATAAGGGATCGCGCTCTTCAAACCCGCCCGACAGACGGAACATTCTACACGGATGCCCCCCCCAGGGATGCGCGCCAATCCTGAGGGTAAAAATCAGGCTGGCACGGTGCCGACAACACAAGCGATATCACCAGCACCTTGAGCATGACTTCCGGCGGACCCGAATTGTCGCAAGGACTGGGTCCATTGAAGATTTAAGATTTGCAATAGCGCGCTGATCATTTATGAAACTCCCTTGTCCCACGTGGGATACCCAGCGGGCGCATTGAACACATCGGGTAGGCGCCGGCCCAAACTCATGCCTAGTGCCATAGATTACCGAAAACGGACAGGATAGGTCATATAGGTCTTGGGTGATACGATTAGGCGGAACTGTTGAGATGTAATACCTTTAGTTGAAGGTACTGTACCGCGGTAGTTGTGGTGTCCATGATGTCGGAATCACTCGTGTAGCGAGAGACGGAAAGAATGTATGATACCCTACGGATTCAAGGTTGCTGTAGGGGATAGGTGCGAAGCGGGGGATTAAGCGCAACAGAAAAATTGGGGCGGATGTTCTCTACCGGTATTAGCCTGGGGACTGAAATACGTACCGGTAGTTAACTTCTCGTCTATGACGGACTGGACCTTGTCCAAGTGGGTATCATATCACGTTCCCTCTTAGTCGCATTGATGCCCCGCTACGGTCACCATCTTTGACAGCTCTCCATCTGTAATTCACAGATACACACATGGCAAGGTACCACCTCCCATATCGGAAACCTTAGCCCATAAGTTCATCACCCCAAAGGCTACCCTCGGAGCGCACCCTTGGAGTACCGAAACCCCGTTTGAAGCTTGTGCTCCCCATTATGCTCTTTCGCCAAGTCCTATCGAATGCATTTTTCGATCAGCCAGTATAGTAATGGGGCTTCCCCCCAGGGCCTAGTCAACTAACTCGCCCAACTTCGATAACCACTGACGCCGGTCGTTACCGTACTTCACTCGTTTGGTATTTTACCATTTCTCTCCAAATCCACCACTAGCCTTTAGCATAACCATTGTCACCATCATTACGCATGCAGATCTTAAGCTCATTCTAAAGGAGTTTATACTCATGTTCACACGCGCCCTTCTGCCAATATACTTTCTCGCTACTGGGCTTGCTGCCGCGCAATGCCCCTTCAAGGCGGGATCGGAGGTCTCGGATGAAGACCTTTCAGCGATCTTCATGGAAAGCGATAGCAGGAGCTGTGGGGCGAGGCAGGAGGACTGTACAAGACTTATCCAGAACTGTGTTTCTGGGCTGAATGATGAGCCTCTAATATTACGACTAGAGAGTGCAAAACAGAGGTTTTGCGAGGGAAAGCTGCGCGCTGGTTGCGAGGCGGGTGGCGGCGGTGAAGCTGGGGGCGATAGTAGTGGTGTTGGTGACAATGGTAGAGATAGTGATGATAGTGATAATGATGAGGAGACGGGGAGGGGGAGGCGGAGGGGAAGGGGAAGGAGAAGAGGGAGGGGAAGGGGAAGATGGAGGGATAGGGAGAGGGCAAAGGGGAGAGGAGGGGAAGGGGACGGGGACGGGGACGGGGACGGGGACGGGGAAGGCGATAGTGATCAGAACGAATCGCAACAGACTACATCAACCCCGACTTTACAAACCACCCCCTCATCGGCACCACCAGAAGCACCAACCGCCTCACTGACCCCAGGCCCTCCGGCAGCGAGACAGAGCCAGGCCAGTACACCAACCCCAACTTCCACAGAAACCCCGACACTCGAAACAGCACCCACCATAACTACAACAATCCAATTCCTATCCTCAATACAAACAACCACAGCCACGGCCTCCCAAACCTCCGAGCAGGGCAAAAATAAGAAGGGTAAAGACGAAAAAGATAATGACAACTTCGACAGTCAAAAATTCGGTGCGCTCTTTGCGAACGTGACAGACTACCGTAAAAATTGGGACCTTTTCTGTACCGACAAAGCCAAAGACGCAATCCGCTCGGCAAGGAAGGATCCCCCGAGGTCGTGCGATAAGTGCAAACCTAGGAAGCCTACGGAATTCAATTGGAAGGATGCCAAAAGTTGTTGGAAAAATGTTTTTGAGGAGTGGCCTGAGAAATTCGAGGACTTAATGGGGGTGCTGGAGGGGACTGCCAATGGAACTGAGAGAGGGTTAAAGTTTCCGCAGAGGGATAAGGCGAGTGGCGCCGTTGGGAATGAGGACTTGGTGCGGATTTTTGGACTCCTGGGTGCGGTTCTAGGGGCTGGAAGTATGGTTTGGGGGATTTGAAGTGGTGGACGGTACGTTTTTGTAATAAGGTCACCTGGCAATGACCTTGACCAAGTTCTGGGAGGGATTATAATGCGACTGGAAGGGGGATATCACATAATTTATGTAGAGAGGGGGGGCTCGTTCAAGAGGCAAAGGGGGCCCTGTTTCGCCATCACTACTGTCTAGGAACTATACTAGTGATTCGGGGTGGGGCGGGAGGTCTGGATTCTGGTGCATACATCATACAAGCGATTTAGTCCATTGGGTATTCAACGGGTTCGCTATAGTTAATTTCATTTTGTATCATAGAATTACCTTCGAATATTACCAGCCCCTTTGGGGAATGACCACTCCCCCTAACATGATATATCTTGAATACCCCACTGTAGAAGCCGGAATTGTTGAGTGCTATCGCGACCGGATAGTCACCCTGTTGTGATACTGGACAATAGCCTGAGGTCCTGATTCTGAATTACCCGCGGGGCTATTTTTGTACTTGACTGCTCGTAGAAAGTGATTTCCTATCGCTCATAGGTACACTTCTTGATTTCCATAGTCTTTTGTGAGCTTACACCAGGGAGAAATAGATAGAAAGTAGCCCTTACTATAGAACCGTCTGATGACCTATCTAGCCGATCAAGTGCGTGACTGCGGCAGTGTCAAAAGCACTTTCAGTTACTATGATACCAGTACAAGTATAGTGCAAGAAGCCATTCAGTTCTTTATAAAATTTAATGATAATACATCAGCCATTTGCAAACCCCACCCCTCACTCAATACCTAACTTACCCACCAGCCATCATACACCAAACCCACCTAAACCAACCCCGAATACGCAATTACGATGATTACCAACCCCAACTCAAGAAGCCACTCCTCCCCCTCACCCGGGCCAGGGAAAAACCCCAAAAAGGGCCCATGCCCCAACCGCACCCACCACGAACGCAAGCCAATAGCGGGCGGCAGTATCACCCCAGATCACTCGTGTGCCAAGAGACTTGTTCCCTGATTTACCGCCGTCACCGGTAGAACCTGTGCGCGAGCCATCTCCTCCGTAACATCCTTGCTCGCCAGCGTACTCGGCACATCTGTTGTTTAATTCCCATTAATCCATGTTCCAGTCGGGGAAAAAAGGAAAGACAATGACAAATTATCAAACACGAAGGGAGCACTAAAGCCAGGCTATGGAAATTTTGGAAAGGAATAAATGAGGTATACGTACAGCTCCTCAAGTAGAGGCCCCCCGTACGGTTCGAGGGAATTTTCAAAGTCTTGGAATGTTGTTGCTTTCCTGGGATTTTTAATAACGATAGCCGCTCAGGGGAGGGCGGTCGGAGGGGGTTAGCTGTATCATACCAGTCTGCAGCAGAAGCTATAGCAGCTCTATTCCCCGTGAAAACAAGGTACAAAACATCACTCTCAGAGTGTCCACTATCCCCCGTCATGCTCTGGCCAAAGCAAGCGGTCGCTAGGGAAATGCTCGCTTCACCAACGAGCGTACCACCGTTCGTGTCGCCCCAGACGGCATAGAACTAGACCACATCCACAACCCCACTCTGAGCCCTAACCCCTTCCCTTCAAGCTGATCGGATAGAAAGCGCAAACGTACAAACTGCCCCCCACAAACCACCACCGCAACAGCCAACTCCGGCACTCCGTACTGCGTCGGTTCGAACGAGGGCGAATACTTCTGATTCCCGAACACAATGTAGGAATGCTTATTAGAGTCCAGGTCCTCTATCCCGAATTTCGCCACTCTATCTTTAAACGCTGTCTGGCCCTGCCCCGTTGGGTCGTTCAAGCATTTCCCGGCGGAGCGGTTGGCGCCGTCGCAGTCAATGTCCATATCCGCGAGGGATTTGGGACCAGCAATCCAGAGGAATTTACGGTCGGGGGTTGCACAATACTTTGCCGATTTGGCCTGATTTTCGGAAAACTGGAAGCCGGACTTCAGCTCTACCGGGCATTTTCCGCCCTGTGGAGAATACTTATTTTAGTTCGCCCGATCGATAGGAAGAAGTGTGCGGGAGTTGCGAATACGAACTTTGTACTCGTCGAGGAAGGATTGAAGATTTTGTGGGATTTTTCTGGTTAGGACGGTGTCCGCGAAGGACAGAATGAGGGGGAGAAGTGCTGTGAGCTTCATCTAGTAGTAGCGATACTTTTGCCTACTCTATCGAGTCTACTTTAGTATAAACAAATAAATAAGGCAAGGATGCAAGCTTTTCGTGCAAGCTAGCTGACGATACTTACGCTACCTCCAACCTATGTCTATATATGACTACCCTCAGCCCTGCCCCAACACTCTGCACCCGACCAGGAAGTGCACTGTACCGGTGAATTGATGTGCTATTCTCTGCAACCTCTAATCGAAAATACAAATCCGCCAATACGGGCAGTTCCCGTACTATGATACTCGGTTGAAATGAAGTTTTGTTCGTTCGCTCGCTCAGAGGTACCCACGTCGTTGTCGTTGTTGAAGATGGGAGATCGAGTTTCAGCCTCGGCCGCGTTATCATAACTACCGGCACTAGTACAAAACCAGAGCGAGGGAAGAGGCTAAAAAGCTTCTCCCGCCAAGAGCTTTAATGTCACACAAGCTTGTTGTGGTGTTCCCAGCCGACTGCCACTCTGCACTGATATGCACTGTGCCCTACAATTGTAGGCATAGAGGCGTGGAGGAAGGTGGAGCGTTCTGTGTTTTCTAGCTATGTTACCACGGAAACCATCTAAAGTAGCAATAAATGACTGCAACGCTTCATCCGCACCCTACACCCACCTAACCCTGTACCCTCACCATGGCGAGGATAACCTCTAGTATGATACTATCAACCAACAACAATACGGTACAGGTACAATACTGTCTGTACTCGCACTCGTACTCTACGGTCCTAGCATAAAAAGTCGTGAGTAGGTTGCCGTTTTGCACCAAAAACACAAATTTAACACGACTTTAGGGACTTTTAACACACTCAAAGATAAGATAGGATTAATCACAATAGCATTACTGTATGTGGGTTATAATCACCTAGCCTCTTTCGGTAGGGATTTCGCAATTTCCGTCACCCTTGTGTTAGTGCTGAGGACTCTGGAGACTTGTTCCATGGGGTGTTGCAATGTACCCTTTTCACAGAAAACTGGTATGATCCGAGGTATCTTTTGTCCATCCCAAATGCTTCCGATGTTTCCCTCTTGAGGTCTATTAACAGAGTTTGATCTTTTGTCACAACAAATTCCATGTATTCTAAGAAATTTATCAAGTTTTAATTCTTTTATCAGAGAAATGAGAGTGATATTTCCGGATGCAACGTTGCTCATTTTATAGTGTAAAATGCCAACCTACTCATGACTCTCAACGCCAGGCCAGTAGTACCAAATATTCAATAACTGGCGAGGTACAGAAGCTCGTGGTGGGGCGGGGGGGTGCGGGAACTCCCGTACAACTTCCTATAGGACAAAGATTCTCTATATATCGTAGACATTCTCGATATACACCTCCCCGCATTGTGGGATACTGTGGTAGGCGAATAGCGGATCATCCAACCACCCCTATGATCAGCCCTTGAACTGAACCGATCGTTATGATCGCTGACCCCCTGCCCATAAGTTGATAGACTTCAATTCAGAATTTAAACTTCAAATCGTGAACCTCATATGTGGGTATTTCCCGCACAACTTGGTCTGATCCCGGGTCCACCCTTCGTTTAGAACTACTAGGTTGTGTTCTGCGGTGGGTTATATTGACAAAGGAAAGAGCTTTAGCCCTAGCCCACCGATCTTGTGCAGGCCGGCTAGGTCGAGCAAGTTGTCATGAGAACCATCATAGGTTCCTGGGGGACTGCTCGGGAAACTAGAATTGCTCCGGCAATCTATGGTTTCTGCATTCCCCCCAATGCATGCGGTGTTTGTGAAGGGACTAACAAGAGACCGGATAGTGCTCGGTGATGTCTAAGCCGGTGATTGTCGATGAAGCTTGGAATTTTGCTGAGGAGCTATTGTGAGTTCCTAGAATTGGCCTCTACCTCCAGCCTATCCCCGGCATCGGACCCGGCATCGGACCCAACCTAGATCTCCGGTTGAACTCACTCGGGTGTAAATTCAGGTTCACCAGCCAGGGCCATCTAATGTCGGCAAGTGTAGAGAATCTAAAGGGCCGTCCCAGTAGGGCAGTACATCAGATACACAACCTTCCTAGCTGCCAGGACCTGACCTAGGGATTTGCGATTTATACCACCCGTGACGCCTCCGCGGGCCCTTCGTCAGCAGGGATTGACCGGTATGATTATCAAATAATAAATGCTAATAAATAAATATCAAAGTATTATAATCTGGTTCTACATATAACCCTTATGGTACTACCCTTTTATTCACAGTTACATTACACAATACTGTCAATTCCTACTCGCACCACAGTTCCAACCAACTGAAATTTGGGGGACCATCTCACCTAAGCCCCACAGTTGTACCTGAAGATATAGCATAAAGGGTATATAGGGTAAAGTAAAAAAAAAAAATTCTCAAGCATTACTAAATACCCCCTCAATATAAAAGGTTTTTATGGAGATTTCTATACCATAGAAGTGTCATGCTGAGCAGGGTACGGGAAAAAAAAAACTTTTCAATTGACTCCCAACCTTGTACTCCCTTCTTCCCAACTCTGGAATCTATGATACCTCTCATATTAATCTGTTCTACCTTGCTCGACCCCCCGCTATCTCCAGCCAGCCCTTCAACCCCACCCCCGATGACAACAATAATATATCCAGCCCCAAGGACGAAGGCCACCAAAGCCCCAAAGAGCAAGAATGGTCAAGGCCAACACCGTCATCAACGCAAAAGGAACTGACTACGAGGGTAACCCTGGTACCCACAAGAAAGAGTAGTAGAAGCATAGGGGGAGGGAAGTTCCTAGGATCCAGGGTTGTGGGCTAAAGTTGAAGTGCCAATGATTGTCTGCAGGAGGACCAAGAGGTTAAGGGGGATTGTCGTTTCCCCTGTTTATGATACTATCATAGATTCGGAGTTTAGAGGAGGAGGAAGGGAGAAAAATAAGAGTAAAAGTGGGACAGCTATCAGAGGTAGGGTGCATAGCCACTCTCCCCGTTCAACTGGCTTATGGCCGAGATGGAGAGTGCACCTCTCCACATACAATACCACCACTCACGGCGCCACTGTTCCATCC